AATATATATATTTTAGTGACATTAAATACTAAGAGAGAGAGAGAGACATTTTCAAAAGGTGCACGCTCTTGCAATATTTTTTTCTTCTTCCACGTCTTTAACTTATTTTATTGTAAACATTTTTATTTTCCCGACTAATTATTTTTAAATTACTAATTATAAGAAGGACGACATGTTAAATAGAAAAAATTCTTTTTTTAAACAATAACAATAATAATCATTGGATAATGACCTCGAGTAAAAAATTAAAGTATAACAAACATAAATAAACAAGATAAGGGTTGGTTTATTAGTCTACCCCCACGGCGGCATATGGGTATTAACGAAAGAAAATAAACGCGCGGCAAACGATGGTAGCGGCGTCGGCGGCATATGGCGGGGAGCGGTCAACGATTTTTTTTTCAAAATGGTGAATAACGAAATTAAATTGTCAATTACAGAGGAAGGAATAATGTTAAATTTTCATTGGAGGAAAAAACGAATCACGAACGAAGGGGTTAAATTAAATATGGCGTATTCTGACGTATAATAGGGAAGATGTTATTTTTTTTTTTTCATTTGAAAGCAGGACCGCGCCATTTTCAAAAACTAATTGCGTTTATTTTTTTTTTTAACGATTAATAATACTTAATCTGCGGATTTTAATAATTCATATAATTATTTATTGAATTAAAATGTGATAATAAATTCGACGACCCCCCCCCGCTGCATCAAACGATATATTTCCCTCTCCATTTTGAAAAAAAAAATAATTGTCATTTTTTTTTTCCAAAAAAAAAAAAAAAAAAAAAAAAAAATTGCAACGAAATAATTTTACAAGTAAGAAATGATTCAGCATAATAAAATAAATAAATAAATAAATAATAACGATTATAATACTTTATAAAAGTTTATATAACTTTAGAAAAAAATGAAAACAAATTCCGCCATTTTTATTTTTTTCGTTAAAAAAAAAAACATTAATTCATTATTTCTTGGCATAACTAAATTGGGTTTGCTGAATTTTTTTTTTTTTTGGTACAAACGCCATATGGTTTTTGTTTCAATGATATTTATCAATATCTTGGCACGAACTAGGGGATGTAAAAACCAAAATTTAAGGTTCGAAACCTATTCGGAATTAATTTTACTGATAAACAATATATATTTCATCCTTTTTTTTTTAATTGTTTTTTTTTTTTTTATATAACCGACAGGAAGTTAATTATTCTTAGAATGAACATACATTTTTTCTTGCAATTATTATTATCATCATCATTATTCTTCGTTTTCTCCTTTTACTTGTCACACGACAAAACCTTTTTAATCAGGTATTCA